AATAAAGACTACATTATCTGTAATCATCTTCGATCCCGGAACGTTCGTTATTGATTATTGAATAAAATTCCTTGTTAAATGATTTCGCCTACGCTCATCCAAGAATTTCACCTCACCCGTAATGCCATGGTAGACCCATATCATACCACCCAAGCTGCTCGGGCAGAACCGCAATCTTCTACTCAGCGGCTATGAGCCGTTTCGCCATAGCACAATAGTCCTCAACGTGAGGCAGCCGGTGCACAACGTGCTACAAGCTCTCTAGGTCTCACGCGCAGCAGTATGTGACCCCAGCATGATGCTCGGCGGAGTACCGATCGCGACGGACCTCATCCTCAAGAGCTCGAAGAGCATCGCGAGTCACCGAAAGGCGATCGACCAAGTCGTCATCGTCAGCCACCGACTCTTCTAGACAGCACTGGTGGCGTCCACTTTCACGAGGAGCGTTTTGTATGTCGATATCGTCGCCAGGGTCACCCCCAGTATCTTGTAAGGTGGCGAGGATGTCCAGACTCCGATACCTCGTGAGAGGTTGAGGTGCCACTTCGCTAGGACTGCTCAGACGTCGTGGATGCTTATGATCAGAGGGATCAAGATGTTTTGCGTCACCGTACGTCCTGCGCTTCTCGGTGATAGCAAGGGAAGCCGAATGATCATGAGCTGAGCTCAAACAATGGTCTTGGGCTGCTACGGTTGCAGACTCACCCGTGTGAGAGACCAAAGAGCTCGCAGGAGCGTGATAGATCAACACATACGTCGCAGGGTAAAAATTTGAAGGAAGTCGCCGACGCGCCTTGAGTTCGGTAGACCAAACCGAATATGGCGTCTCACACGCGCGTCCACCTCTCTGTGACTCAACTGTAAGTTAGACATAAAAAAAAGTGTCCGGTACCGCTGCATTCATCACTCGAAGAGCGCTTCGTCATCTGCAGCGGCTCGCCAGGGGCAAGCGCCACAGAAAACTTCCGCATCGTGGGTACAGGAGCGCCTTCTGTTTGAGCACGAAGGCGAGTGCAGTACGTATCCATCGGAAGTCTTGAGAGTCCACGAAGCAAGCTCGAAGAGCTTTTCGTCCGTCAAGCTCAGCTTGTAAATGTGGCAGGGGGTCCGAATACGTAGACGCACAACGATTGAGTGATCGTGTCCATCGCTTCTGCAGCGGGATCCGCTGAGAGTTCGGGGAACAGACACGGCGTCCGCAAGGTCTGAGTAGGGCTCAAATCATGCAGCTGGGGCACCTCGCCCTCTGATTCTTCCCATCCTGGGTCAGGAGTGTCCGACTCGTAGTCGACTTACTGTATATCTTCGACGAGAAAGTCTATTGCCCCTGGCGGGAACAATGCGCGGTATTCGGTTACCGAGATTTTGAGATGCGCTTTCCTTGAAGCCGCGAACGTGCTGTCCAGAGTTGCACCGCGTCCAGGAGACGAAGAAAGGCTCTGCCCGTGGGTCTTCTCGGAATCAGCTAGGCTGCTTTTTTTTCGTTTTTCCGACACAGCGCTCATCGAGCAGACAAATAAAAGAAGGTCCTGGTGATGTTGTGGTGTCTTAAACACGCAAGCCTCGTTTGAAGTGATAGTTGTATTTGAGCTGTAGAGGTTTACAATCTGGATGGGGGAGAGTGTAACGGGGTTTCACGTGCTCTGATAGGAAATGTGTGGGTCGCACAAGATGGTGTAATTACACGATGGTGTGGCTACACCTAAGCAAGTAGTCAGTACGTGGCTGGAACAGTCAGTAGTTTGACATTAGATTCCGTTTTACTATACAGATATGAAAACCTATAGATTTAGATATAGGCGCTTTGCCGCTAATAAACCCGAGAAATACTATTTACACTTCGAACGGTGAAGTTCAATAGCCTTGGGTTAAGGTTGGAGTTTCTCATGGAGTAAGCGGATTGCGACCCGCTACACTCGTCTTGGCTCTAAGTATAGAATGAATGTTTCTGACCTGAACTAAGTTTCATTTAAGCGATAAAGCTATGGCAGTCCCGCTGCACGTTGATAGAGAACGTTTGGACCTGTGATCGAGATATTCATGCTATCGGAGGTATATCAAGCCTACGCTTGTCCTCAAGTCGAACAACACCTCTCACCGTATTTTCATTGTCGTACAGAAGAAGTTAATTTGGCTTGATTGAGATTGGGAGACATACCAATATTGAAAACACCCACAATCTAGTGTTACGCATAGTTGTCGAAATTTCGTTGTGGTGTATCGAAGAAAAAAGCTTAAACTGTTGATAAAGCAGAATGTAAAGCAGAAAAAGTTTATATATATTATCGATGTGTAAAGAAGGAAAAAGTTTAAACTGTCGATAAAGAAGATTGCAAAGCAGAGACTACTTTTTTTCTTCAATATGTACTGTTTTAACCGATTACCATGACTTATTCTGGATCATTAGCATACAATTTGCAGACATGCCAAAACCTGCGGAATTGTTGTATCTATTTAGAGACAAGAACGACACCTATTTAAAGACAAGAACGACATCA